ATGGGAAACATTGTTTTCTGAAAACAAAAACCTGTACCTTTCTATTTAACCATCCACTGTTGGTAGTGAGAACCAGACAGGACCCCTGGTTTTCTCCTCGCCTCCTTGCTTTCCTCCTTGCCAAGCTGAACAGACAGAGCAGACACCGGCATCTGCAGTTCCCCTTCCCAAGGTCTGCACAGGAAGAATACAGTGGTTGTCCTGGATATCCTGTCCCAGGCACCAGAGAGCTACAAGGGGGCCACGGCAAATCACATCAGCACATTAAACCAAAAATCAGCCTTGCGCGGATCTTGCCCAGCAGTCTTACAGCTGGCTGAATGAAAGAAATGTTAACAATCACTGCCTGATGCCAGCTCCTCTCCAGGCCTCCTCCTCTTGCCTGCTGTGGGCTGTGGAGCGTAGCTCCTCTTATGCCTCAGCCTTGGCCATTAAAACACTGTGCATGTTGCCAGTAATGCTATCCCTGCCAGTAGCCTGGACAATTTTGTAAGTTCATCTTTCTAGGAACGTTTGGGCTCAAGATGGCTAGATTCCTGTCATTTGGAAGGTCTCTTTTGGCCAAGATAGAGATTTAAAAACCTTCACAGATATATATTGCCAAGTTACACCCTTCTTTCATGATATACCACTCGAACTCTGTCCAATTTTCCACTGCTCACCTTCCACGGATCTTTTAGCAACAGCCAGTGCATTTATACGTACAATCTTCTTTCAAAGCCTTCTATGGAATTTATTCTGCTCATGAACTAAGCTCTCATGACTGCTCTAAAGGTTAAGTTAAACTAAACAGTTAGTCTATGCGATGTCCACGTGGCTTAACAAACAGGAAATGGGCTGTCCTGTATGGGACACTGCCAGTGAGAATAACCTTGAGATCCGTCCCTCCTGAAATCTGTTGAATCCCCAGGCCCCTGGGTGCGTTATGAAGCAGTGCTTCTCACTATGTGACAGTTACCCTGATGGGGACTGGCAAGCACCCTCTCTCTGCCTTGACACGATGCCTTTATAGGCGGTGATAGGGAAGGGAGTGGAGTGGCAATAGTGTTCCTTTTCGAAGACGCTTAGGTCTCCGTTAATACATTCTGAGACACCAGAGTAAAACTTTCAAGGTACTAACGTGATTTTCCATTCCACTACACACCAAAAGGATCAAGATGAAAGAGCTTTCCCACTCCTTATTGCCTTTTTATCCTGCAGCATGACCTTAATCAATCCAAGGCTAGGGACCAGGAAACATTTTTGCGTAATTTCTCTTCCTTATCCCTCCTCTCCCCAGTGAATGATTCTACATTAAATCAGCACAAAGGTCAGTAGATTGATGGTGGCTTACATAGGAAACAGGTGAACTGCTGTGCACTAGGTTCCCAGCTGAGTACAATGACCACAATGTGTTTGCTGGAACAAAGGATGCCCTTTATACAAAGTTAACTGTATGAAATGAACATCTGGGCAATTGAAACTGGATCAAAAAGCAAAAGATCCCACAGAAGAAAATGACGTGAGTGCACAATTATTGAAAAAGCCATGTGATG